TCAATGTGAAGTAGGAGGAAAACAGATCTTCAAAGTATTTTTTTGAAGTAAAAAACTTTTTTTTTAAAATCTTCATTTAAAATGAGAGAACACATAAAATTGAGCAGGAGGAAATGTTCTTCTAATATTATGCTGTGAACATTAATTTTACTCAGTTGTTGGCCACTCTTGTTTTGTTTAGGAAGCAAATTTGATTGTTAACAACTTAGGGATAGTAACATATGAAGTTAACTTTAAATCTGTTTAATAAATGCATTTACTTGGGAAAATAAATACAGATTCTCTTAAGAGAACAGAGAATAATTATAAAGACAGGTTATGTTGCTGGTTTAATCTGGTAAGAATTATCACGTTGAAAGGAAATTGCACATTCTTATTTGTATCTCCCCTCTATCCTATACATTAGTGTGCAATTCAAGTCTTGGGCATTATCAGCTCAGGATATAACCCTAAATTCCTGTTTGGGTTTAGCATCCCTTTTTCATCTTGCTGTCAGTACTGAGCAGGGCACAATAAGCCAGTGAAGCTGCTCACATGGTATTTTTCAAGGGATAACAAAATCTGACTAGTTTTGGTATGACACATTTTTTCCATTCTTCTTCATAATTCATTTGTGCAAGTGGGCTTTTTTACATTTTAATAAACACTATGAAAGAAAGAACTATTCTCATGATATTTGCAGAACAACAAACAAGTGTTGAAATGTTTACAGTAGCCCTTTCTTGTGATATATTTAGACTAATATCTCTGATTAAGTGTTCATTCGTCCAGTAAACACTGATTATTTAATGTTACAGCACTATTGTTCTTTTATTCTCTAGAAACCAAAAATATGAAGAAAACTGTTTCATCAGGAGAGTAATTGAATTGGTGATTTATTTTTTTTAATTGTTTGTGTAGATTTCACTAAGTAAAATAGCACGCTCTGTAGTGCCCAGAAATTCTCTCTCATCTGAAAAGTGGTGTTCATATAAAACAAGAACAAGAAAAGAGTATAGCTGCCATATTGTATGTGCAGTCTGAATCACAGAATCATTATTCCAACAGATGTTGCCATTTCAAAACCAACTTGCTTACTAACATTTTCTGTACTAGCTGTTGCAGGCTTTCCTGTAGAAGCGTTTGCTAGCATATCTAAGTTTTTATATATATAATAATTGAGGGTCTTTTTTAATTGTACTGCATCTAATGTACTATTTTCAGCAAAACTAAATCCAAAGGCAACAAAAACATCCTTAGGCTTATGGGGTTATATACTAGGTGACATACCAAGCACAGTTCTACAGCTTTCTAAATAATAAATGGATAGTGCATCTGCTACCTCCCAGTGGTTAGGGATGGGAATTGTCCTATTTATGAGCATTGACATGACAGTGTATTTTAAAACCAAAGGCTAGCAAAGGAATCAAACTTGATAATATTAATACCCCACTGTTTTTATGTGTACTGTAATTTATTGAATCTGAAGATATGGGAGTGGGAATTCTTCTTTATGCCAAGATACATCAGTACAAATTAAATGTTTCTGTCTGTGAAAAAAGGCAAATAGCTAAAGGCATCTTTGTCTACTGCCATTTGGTTAATGAAGATTGCCTGCAAATTTAGCACTGATGTTTTGCACTCCAGCTCGGATTCTCAAATGCATTTCAGCCTGTATGGAAATCACTGAGACTTCAATGCCTGAATGAGTCTGGACATCATCAAAGTAATTAGAAATGTTGAAACCAGTGGCTCTTGTAATTTCTGGAAACTACTTGAGCTCTCTTGTCTGGCTTTGTTGTAATACAATATATAATGTAAGTAATGTAATAAATATAATATATAATTATATTATATTATTCTATAGTACAACTTATTCTTAAGTTATAGGGAGGTATTCAGAGCCATGACTAGGACCAAGATGTTAACCAAGGTGTACTTGCCATTTACATTGTCCCAGTGGGAACTAAGTATTCAGATGCATAAAGCAAAAGTTGTACTGATTTATAAATAAACAGAAATGTCCATGTTCAATCTAACTTCTTTTCCAATTAAGGACTTCCACAGCCAGCCAGAATAACCTTTTCTTGATGCTGTTGAAACGTGGTTGTTCAGGAATCTTGAAATGCAATTGCTGGATGCTCAAAAATATTTCCCAGCATCAAGTGAACTCCCAGTGATAGCATATAACATTGCATAAACAAGTCTGTCTCACATAGCTGCTTATTTTAACACAGGCATAATGCATCAGTTGTTACTGTGGATAAACAAAATTACATTTTGCTTTTCCTGTCAACTTCCTGAATACTAAACATTCAGGATTTAGCTCAGTTGAAGTGATTCTTTGATACACAGTGATAAATTACTTCTGTTGTGCAAAACTTGAAATAACATGCTTCTTTTTCATGCTCCTTAAATTTCCACCATCTGTTTGAGAAAGTTATCGCCTGATAACTTTCACTGTGGCTTTGGGTTGAGATTTAGGCCTATTTATGTATGTTTAGATAAATTCTGCTTTGGCCCAACTTTTTTTGGTCCAGAAAGCCATAAATCCATTTCAGATTAAGAGATGCAATTTAGAACTGTCACAGACAGCTTCAGTTTGGTACCTTTATTAGAGTAAGATAGCAGAGCTTACTTAATAATAACATAATATTTAATAAAAATAACTTATTAATGTATACAAAAAAATTCTTTCTGCTTGTCATGACAGTTGCATTCACAGTCCTTGCACTAAAAATTTGCATGGTGGATCTTTGCCTGATATTCAAACTGCTAAGCATAAGAAGCACAACATGACATAAAGGAGCAAACAATAGTGTTTTCTGATCTTTTCAGGCCCATGCTGAAGTCCTGAAAACACTGGGGATTGAATCTATAGGTATGCACAATTTCCTCCACTGTTGCCTGTGCTAGAGCAGGATGTCAGATTTGTAAATGACAGCCTCTTTTAATTGAATGCTTATTCATCAGGGAACATCAGGAGCTCTGTGTGTATATTTGTTTTAAAACTCCTCCCTATCTCACTCAAACTTCTATTTTGTGAATCATAGAATCATAGAATGGTTTGGGTTGGAAGGTGTGTTAAAAATCAACCCAGTAGACCAGGTTCCAAGCCCCATCCAACCTGGCCTTGAACACTTCCAGGGAAGCGGCATTCACAACCTCCCTGGGCAACCTGTTCTAGCATCTCACCACTCTCACAGAAAATAAATTCTTACTAACATCTAATCTGAATCTACCTTCTTTCAGCTTAAAACTGTTACTCCTCATCCTATTTACATGCCCTTGTAAAAACTCACTCCCTAGCTTTCCTGTACCCCCCTCGCCCCTCAGTTACTAAAAGGCCACTATGAGGTCTCCCTGGAGCTTTCTTTTCTGCAGGCTGAACAAGCCCAGCTCTCTCAGGCTGTCTTCATAGGAGAGGGGCTCCAGCCCTCAAATCGTCTTTGTGGCCCTCCTCTGGACTTGCTCCAACAGCTCCATGTATGTTTTGTGTTGGGGGCTCCAGAACTGGACATAGTATTCCGGGTAGGGTCTCACAATGGAGAGTAGAGGGGCAGAACCAACTTCTTCAACATGCTTGCCACGCTTCTTTTGATGCAGCCCAGAACACAGTTGGTCTTCTGGGCTGCAAATGCATATTGCCAGCTCATGTTTAGCTTCTTATCAACCAGCACCCCCAAGTCCTTTTCCACTGGGCTTTTCTCAATCCATTGTCCCCACAAGCCTGTGTTTGTGCTTGGGATTGCTTCTATCCATGTGCAGGACCTTGCACATGGCCTTATCGAACTTCATTATGTTGGCATGGGCCTACTTCTCAAGCCTGTCAAGGTCCCTCTGGATGACCTACCTTCCCTCCAGTATGTTAACCTCACCACACTGTTTGTTGTCATCAGCAAACTTCTGAGGGTGCACTCAATGCCACTGTCCATCCCACCAATAAAGATGTTAAATAGCATTAGTTTCAGTACCAACCCCTTAGGAGTACATCTCATCACTGCTCTCCACTTGGACATTGAGCCCTTGACCACAACTCTTTGAGTGCGACCAGCCAGCCAATTCCTTATCCACTGCATGATCCATGCAGCAAATCCATATCTTTGTAATTTAGAGACCAGGATGTCATGCAGAACAGTGTCAAACACTTTGCGCAAGTTCAGGTAGAAGACATTGGGTGTTCTCCTGTTGTCCACAGATGCTGGGACCCATCATAAAAGGCCACTAAAATTGTCTGGCACAATTTGCCCTTGGTTAAGCCATGTTAGTTACTAGCAACCACCTCCACATTTTGCATGTGCCTTAGCAGAGCCTTCAGTAGGATCCACTCCATGATGTTGCTGGGCACAGAATTTAGACTGGCTCATTTCTACTTCTCTGGTTCTTCCTTTTTTTCCTTTATGAAAATGGGAGTTATGTTTTATTTTCCAGACAGTGGAAATTTCACCAGACTGACATGAGTTTTCAAATATAATGGAAAGCAGCTTTGTAATTTCATCCACCAGTTCCCTCAGGAGCCATGGATGGATTGCATCAGGTTCCATGGACTTGTGCACTTTCAGGTTCTTTAGATGATCTCGAATCTTCTTTTTTCCCTAGTCTTCCTTTTATCACTTACATACCTTGAGAAGCTTTTCTTTTCATCCTTGATGTCCCTGGTAAGATATAATTCTATCTGGGACTTAGCTTTTGTAGCCTGATCTGCAGCTTCTAGAACAACTTCTTTGCACTCCTCTCAGGCTGCCTGTCCACCCTCTGTTGACTTTCTTTTTACATTTAACATACCCAGGGTCTCCCTGTTCATCTATGCAGGTCTCCTGGCATTCC